GGGCAGAAACTGAACCACAGGAAGTTCCATCTGAACCTGAGGAAAAACTTCTTCACTGTGAGGGTGACTGAGCATTGGCACAGGTTGCCCAGAGAGGTGGTGGAGTCTCCTTCGCTGGAGATATTCAAAAGCCGTCTGGATGTGATCCTGGGCAATATGCTCTAGGTGACCCTGCTTGAACAGGGAGGTTGGACTAGATGATCTCCAGAGGTCCCTTCCAACCTAAACGATCCTGTGATTCTGTGATTCCTCCCCTTCTTTGTGGCCACTGTCTGCCCCGTTGTGCCAGCACAGCCCTGGCCTCACTGCAGACCTTATACCTCAGTGAAAGAGCATTGCTATTGCTTTTTTCTTCTGTATCCTGGTGGTACTCCTCCCTGGTGACTGCTCCTTTGCAGCTCATCTGATGGAACCCCAGCATTTCCATGTGCTCCCATGCAGCCATCTCTCAGCGCTTCTGTTGCAGTCCACTTCTCCCTAAGATGATGTCTGCCTCTTTGACTTCTATTTTGCCTTTGTTTCAGGGATCCCTATCCCATGCTGGAACCTCTCATTCTCTAGCCCCATAACTCAAGCTGTTTGTCTTCAAATTCCCCTGAGATGTCCACCCACCAGCTCAGGCTTAGCCTACTTCAGGAGGCTTTGTGAGTTGAATTCAGTCCTCCATGGAGAGAAGCTCTCAGTTGTTTTCACTGGAGGAGAGCTGGATGATGGGACACCGCACTGGAGTTTGGTGCAAAGGAAGGAGTGGAGATGAGAGCTCAAGTGATTCCTCTCCTACCTTGTGTTTTTCTTCGGGCTCTGCAAGGACGCTGCTCTCCCTTCTCATGTGCGTTAATTGATCCTACTGTAAGGCACAGTTGTTGCCAAAACCACTGCTTTTTCCCTTGTTTCTTGCAAGCTCTACTGTTATCAGCTGTTGTGCACTGAGTTCTGAGTTGGCTCCTTGCCTGAGCCTTCTGGGCAGTCGTTCAGGTCTAACTTATTTGAGCACAGCTATGGTGCACTCAGCAGAAATAGCAGTCATTTCCCCATTTGTCTGGCAAAGCACATCTTTGGCATTTTCCCAGTGTGATCCCCAGTCAAGGCTGGTTTGGAGGTGGCTTTCCATCGTCATCTGGCAGGTGCTGTGGCAGAAAGCATGCCTGTTCCCTTTGCTCCATCCAAAGCAAGCTGTTTGGGTTGGGGAGGTCAGGTCTGGTGATGTGAGCTCCTTGGAGAGGGAACTTCGTCGGAAGCAGGGCTTTGCTGCCTGGCTTATTCTCAGGACCAGATTCAGCTCCAAGAATTGAGAATTAGAGTTGGGTTGGAGCTACACAAGGTTTTTCTGAGTGCTTTTTAACCATATGCGTTCCAGCTGCATTCAAAAGATGCCCAAGCTGTAGGTGATTTTTTTTTTTTTTCTTTACTCAGTCACCAATCTGCAAGGTGCTTGTTCCTTTGGGGTTGGAAAGTGATGTTGGAAATTGTGGACGCCGTATTTCTCCATAAGACTGCCTACTATGTAGAACTCTTGCTCTTCAGGTGGTGGTCAATGGGAGTTTTGGGCTCCCCTGGATTTATGCCTCAAAATCCTGCATGGGTATTTGTTGCATAGATCAAGATCCCCTGAGGGAAAAATGTTCATATGCTCCATGGAAACACAACTTCCAATTAAGAAATACTGCAACAGGGAACCTGCAGCTGGGAAAGCTAGTTGCAGTAATAATTCCTGTATTTTTGTATATATGCCTCTGGGTCCTCATTTTACAGGTGGGGAAACTGAGTCACAGAGCCATGACTTGTCCAGGGTCCTTCAGCAAGCCAGCTGACCCCCTGACGCCCTGCCAGACATGGCACCATGAATCACATCACTCTCCTGTGGCGCTGCTGGGTTAGGGGAGCTCTGCGCCATTTGGTGCTGCGAGAAAAAGGCAGGGATGAGTGAAACTGTTGTATCTCACTGTCCTCAACAAGGGAGAGAGGAATTGCTGATGACGGGGCTAGAGACGGCACATCGCTGCTAACAGCTGTCGATTCCTTTGCTGAGGTTGTCTCCTGTCCACACTGATGCTGTGCTGAGTGCAAGGGTGATGTGTTGATTGAAGCCTGCAGTGGTTCTGAGACCAGCTTTTATCCATCTGCGCAATAATGGGAACTAAACACTGTGCACTCCTCCTTAACCAAACCAGTGCTTCCCCTGCTTGTTTTTGTCCTCATAGGGGCTGTGTCATCGGACCGACTTTTCACTTCAATGTACCTTCCCTTCATTTTGGTGATGTCTCTTTTGGTGAGTATGCACTGAGCTTGGTCCACTGGCTGTGGATTGCCAAAATGGAGCATTTCAGCATAAGAACATCCATCACTGGTGTTCCTCCGTAGCAGGCTTCAGAGTGTTAAAAGTAGGACTGCTGGTTGCTTAGATGATATTTTTGCCATAAATGCCGCACACGCAGTCATTGAACAGAGCTCCTGACCTGAAACACGGAGACACTGGGTTTTGTGCGAGAGCAGACCTCCAGCACAGCAGTGTCCAAAAGGTTTAAAGGTTTTAGGTGATGGAGAAGGTTTATGACTAAACAGCTTGTATTGGTGATTCCCACCAGTTTGCACTGTGCCACAGAGAGTTCTGGAAATAAAATCATGGTGGAGCTAGTGCTGAGAGCACTTTGTCCTTCACTATTGTTTTGAGAAGGTGAAGACCATCATGACAGAAGGAATTGAAGGTCAGTGTTTCATAGCGTCCCTCATAGTCTATTTAACCCAAGGCTCCTAATCCTTGGCAGCAGAATGACTGTGAATGTCCTTGTCCCAGAAGGGCCTAGGGAATGGGGCAACAAGATAAAGGAATTTCAACTGTACTAGCCTAGAGCTCTTCTGGGTAGATGTTTGTGTTGCAAGGTAAGCACGCAGTTTACCCAGCTGTCCTTTAATATGAGAAGTTAATTTGTGCTGTGAAGGCACCTCATTGTCACATACCAGGTAATGTACCCAAGCAATAGTTCTGCAGCAGGCACTGTTATCCTTAGAGACTCCTAGAGGATCCTTCTCCTTCCCCGCTAAAAGCCGAGCTCTGCTGACATAGCCTGTGTCTGAGCATTCAGAGCATCTCCATTGAAATACAAATTCTTTTGTGAGACTGAGATGGAGAATCAGGCTTTTTACTGAGATGATCTAAAGTTTAAATGTGAAATCAATTGTGGATTGATTGAAGGGCCATTATCATTCTGCACCCAGGAGATGCCTCTGTGTTTTCATGCTGTTCATGGACTTTTAAAGAAAACTCATTGCCTTTCCTGAGCAGTTTCCTTCTCTCCCTACATCACCACTGTTTCACTTTTATTTCCTTTTGAATAAATAAAACAACAAGAAACACACCAGACAGCTCCCACTAAAAACAAGAAATATGGTTGTGTAATACAAGCTTCATCCTATTTAATCTGATTTCTTTAATAAGGCTCTTTGAGCCAGAAGAGGCAGACTTTTGCCTTTTTTTTTTTTCTTTTTAACTGTGCTGCTAACTGTTGTCTGTGTCTGGCAACTTTGGCCTCATTTGGTGTTCTGTGAAGTCTTTCCCTGTCCTTTTTGTGTACCTCCTGCCTCCCTGCTAGATTGCTAGAGTAATTGCTGGAGGTGGGCACCCGTCGCTGTTAACGGTGATGGGTGAATTGCATTCTGTGTCTCAGGTTGATTTTTCTTCCTCATCTGTATTCAAATAACGTTTTGTAACCAGGCTGTGAGGGACCGGCCCTTCTCTCAGGGCTGGCCAGCCAAGCAAGAGCGTGTTGGGAGTCAAAGCTATGGGCCTATCTCAGCAGAAAGATGGAACATCCCTGCCATCTGTGGTTGTATCACTGACGCATACTGGAAAGCTTAAGCCTTTGGTAGTAATCAAAGCCAGATTGCAGTGTGGATGTGATGTGCTCACTTGTTAGACAAGGTGAGACACATTTCCTGCTAACTTCTAAGCTAACATCAGACTCGCCTCCTGTGAGTGGGCTACAAGTTGTCATGCTCTAAGTCTGGTTGCCCCGAAATAGAAGATGCCTTACAGATTCAGCCTTGCCTCCAGCCCTTCCTCCAGAAGGGCCCATGTGTCCCATGAGATCTGTATTATGTTTTTCCAGCCCCACACGTCTATGCCTGTGGCACATCTAAGATGTCGCTTGGTGCCTATGTGGCAGCAACTGACCCAGCTGTACAGTTAGCTCTGTGTCATAGAGGAATAGCAGCAGTTTTCTGACCAGCACAAGGCAGAAAATGGTTTTTCAAGTCACTGTCACTGTTAGGTTCTGAAAACCAATGAATGGGGTGGTATTATTTGCTGCCCCAGCTCAGACTGCAAGCCATTTGACAGCAGTTGGGCAGACGTTTGTGTCTGGGGACACGCTCATCTCCAGGAGCTGAAAGTAGACCTTTGAAAGGTAGAGAAGAACAAGGGTGATCAGAGGGAGGAGAAGACCAGAAAACATCTGCTGTCGGTCACCTTCCGAGTTAGGAAATCGGGTAGGGGGCCGTTGGTCTGACCCACTAGGGCTGTTCTCATATTCTGAGTCATTCTTTGCCCAGGCACCAAGATCTTTACCCCTACCAGCAGGTACTGTTTCTGCTTTTTATAGGCCAATTTTAATCCCTATAGCTAATCCAACTGTGGTGGATTAGTGATAGGGGAAAAAAAGGTTTGATCAGGCTGAGCTAGCATTTTTAATTACTATGCTTTAATATTATAAACCTCAATTTGCAGTCAAGAGGAAACACTGTTAGGAGTGTTCCGCTTGCAGTGATTAACTAGAGGAACCTTGCTTATGTCCTTCAGACCGGGATGCTGGCAGAGCACAGAGAAGCATATGCAATGAGTATATTGTATATGCAAGAACATTAATAGGCAGCAGCGTGGCAGCACAGGCAGAACCACTCAGTAGAAACATCGTCTTCAGGTTCAGATGGCCTTGGTTACGGTTTTCAGTGGGCAACAGGAAGACGGTTTGACATCGTTGATCATACTGAACGCAAATGATCTACTTATACTTGTAATTAAGTTGAGTGGAATTTGATCACAATTTTGTGACAGGGTCAGGAGAAGCTGGCTTACAGGGTGTTTTGCATGTTGCTGTAGTTCCCAATTTCATCTTTCCTTTCTTTCACCACAGATTCTACCCAATATCAATACACTGTTTTTATATATTCAAAACTTTGTCTCTGCTCTTTGAGTTAAGGTAGTATTCAGCTTGAGCAAGGATGGCAGAACTTGGATTTTATTGGCTAAATTTTCAGAATAAACCTATTATGGTCTTTCTGGATGTACACTAATACATGAGTAATACTTGGTGCTGGTTGAGGGGAGGGCAGGGGAACAGCTCCTCACAGTTAAAGAAATAAAAACCTCTGGTGCTCAGTAAGACATCACTAAGAGTGAAAGTTCTCAGCGAAGCACTCTGGGATCAATGGAAAAGGAAACCAAGCGAGGGTTAATTACTCGCTTAGCTTCTCAATTAGTTGTAATTCAGATTGAAAAGAGCTAAAATTCCAAGCACAGTTTTTATCATAATGGAATATTCACACTAGTAATCGAGGGATAATTTATGCAGAAATTGACATTTGTGTCATTTTCATAGGCTTTCCATGCACCTTATCCTGTTGCCTCAATAACACATCCTTGGTACCCATGACTTTCACCCTTCGCATCCCTGGGGATGGCCCTGGAGAACCCAGTGTTAGCAGTTTTGCTCAGATCTCAGATGACACCAGGCCATCCTGGAGAAGAGGAGTTCGAGGTCATGTCAAGCCAACAGAATTTACCATAACACCCTGCAGGGGAACCGTCCGCTCCCAGGGACTCCTGGACATCCAGGTATGGGCAAACTCTAGCTATGAGTATCTCAGCAGGTGGAGCTGAAGTTTCATTGATTTATTGGAGGGTTTTAGCACTGCTGGATTTAAGCCTAATGCGAGTAGGATGTATACAATAATGTGAGGCTTTTGTTACCTGGGTCACTGGGACATTTTTGAAGGAGTACGGTTTTGTTTCCAAAATCATAAGCTGAAGATCATGTGTAGTATGGACAAATACAGAAGCCATTAATGTATTTTGAGAGCTTCACAGAGCAGTTTCTTTGGTTTAAAGTGGGCAGAGGAAGAAAGAGGACAGAAGGTGGCCACTGAAAACAGAAATATCATTGTTTAAAGTAAGAGTCATCTTTTCTTCCCAGGCTTGTTTGCGCTCTCCTGTTGAGCAGAGGAAGTCACATTCACCGCAGTGATCTCTAATGGGGACAACAAAAGCTGTGGCGGCCGTGAACTGCCTAGCATCTGCTGGGCCACGTTTTGTCTCGGCTTCCCATTGTGAAGCTGAAATCATTCAGTTAAAGTCAATGGATTTCCTCTGGATCTGTGCTGTTGTAGTTAAAAGCAAAAGTTGGTCCCTTAGTTTTAAAACAGTGCTGAATACAAAGAGAAAAGCTATTTGTGCTTTAATTTGATTTACATATGCCCTGGTAACTGCTAGGTGTATTTAACAATTCAGAGATTATCAGAGGCTTTTGTTACTCACGGAGACCCCGTACTATACATGGACCAGCAGAAGAGTTAGGGCAAAATCCTCCCTTTCTTTATCATGGGATGTGGACCAGAGGGTCAGGGCTTGAGCTGCCTTGCCGCAGGCAGGGCAACTCGGGGTGTTTTGCTCTATGCTGTAACATCTCAGGCTGCAGAATTTGCCAGGGAGGCCCTTGGGCTGGTTGCCTGGCCCAGCAGAGCATGACGTTGGGGACACGCAAACCCTGGGCGGGAGGATTTAGTTATTACAACTGATAGAACATGCGGCTGGAATTGGCGTTCCTGGCAGTCGAGTGGCTCCCTGCAGATATTCCCTCTGTGAAAGCCCTTGTGTAACACAGAGCCAGGTTTGGTCTGCTGCATTTCAGATCTGTCATTCGTCAATCTTTTTTAAAAGAAAAAGAAAAAAATAAAAGAAAAAGGAGAGAGATGATTATAGATGTTTTTGCTTGGGACTAACTTTTCCCACTGAGAGCTCTGCGTGATCTCTGATCTTCAGGAAACTTTAAGGTATTATTCAGCTGTGACCTCATCCCCAAACAGATGGAAGCCGCACACTTGCTTTCGTACTGAGCAGCAAGTAAAAGCTATCAAATAAGTTTGGCGGCAGGAAGCGTTGCCCTTGCTGTGTGGGAAGCACAGACGAGATGGTGTATTGGGCAAACTGGCAAGAAGACTTCCCCAACTTGTGTCATGCCAAAATGACTGCGGGCACAGAGACTAGTGGGTAGCGCTTTCTGAGATGGAGTCTGCACCTCGTGCAGTGGAAACCCACAGTGGCAGCGTGGCTCTTCCTGTCTCAGGAGACTGGGAGCATCTGTGCCCCGAATAGCAAGGCTAATGGCGAGAGCCATGTCCTTGATAAACTTCCAAAGCCCGTCTGTGTTTAATTTCCCATTCTGCAATTATTCTAAGCTGTCTTTCTTCGCTTATTGTCATCCATGTGGGTTGGTAAAACTGAATCACTTCATTAAAGAGAATTCTCTAGGGAGCATCTACATCGCTTTCTGGTCCCTTACCCCTTTGCTCCCAAAATGCTTCCTTAATTGTCTGCAATGAAGTGCTTTGTAGACCAGTAAGGTCCCCAAATCCTTGGGGGAGTTCTGCATAGTATGGGCCTGTGACACTTCCCTGAGCAAAGTCCTTGTCCACCCAGTGATCCCCAAGTGCTACAGCACTCCACATCTGTGGAGGATGGCTTTGGGGAGTGACAAAGCATCTGATGCTCTTCTCTTCTGCCAGGTAACCTTGTGCTCCAATACCGTGAAAAAATACGAGCTGGCACTGGTGGTGGATGTGGACGGTGTTGGCAAGGAGGTGTTGGCGCTACTCCTCACAGCGAGGTATTGGCACTTCCCTTGCAGCTCCTCTTCCTTCGTTGTGTCTCTGCCACCAGTGCGCTGCCTTGCACAGAGACTGCTGGGTTCAGCTCCAAACGAGAATAGCTACTTAATGAGATTGTTCTACCTAGCTGGATGCTAGCATTAAATCGAATGCAGGAACAGCAGCATTTTGAAAGCGGCACATGTCGAAAAGCCCCTGTGCTCAACGTACAGGAATGGCCCTGAGTTTTTCTGAAGGGAACCATAATTATATTCATTATTGGCCCGCTTTTCCATGCTTGAGGTATAACAGATTTCCTGTACTGTTAGCCAAAGAGCCACCTCCCCTTGCGAGCGTTGAACTTGTACTGGGTTGTGACCAGAATGCAACATTCATCCTCATTTGGGATACAGCTGGCAGCCTGCTGAGAGATGGGGCTGGGTTCGGTTAATGAAGGCACATGCAAATGGGGGAGAGGCCTGTCGCAGAAGTGGTGAAGGAAAAATAAAAGCAAGGTCTTATTGAAGGGAAATTTTTCCCCTGTTATGAGAGAGGAACTCAGGTTTCTCTGCTTTCCTCCAGTTCTTTTGACCATTGATGTTCTCAGACTTAAGCCAAAAGTTGTTCTTGCTGCAGCCAGCTAAAAGAGAGAATCAATCCTGTTGTGCTGCAGGAGGTGTCAGTTTAATTACAAGAGGGATGCAGTTAACCCTATGTATTTAATTATTTGTGAGGGCTTAATAGCCAGAGGGATGTTATTTTCATAAGTTTTCAGTGTCTTGCGATGTGCTGCCTGCTCGTGCCAGCACTCCGGCTGGTTTTGGGTTTTCTGTGAGGTTATATGTCCGGAAAAATCACCTCTGTGCTTTGGTGATCTCTCACGGTTGCAGAGGGGTTCAGCGATGCTGCTGCCTCTCCAAGGCAGAGTCGTCTGGTCAATGCCTGGGCTGCAGCTTTGACAAATGAAATAAATAAGGGCAAAAGGAACAGACAGCGAACCCATGGGGGTGAGGGAGCAGGGTAGCTATAGAAACTAGGAATGGGCAATCGCTCACTGTGTAAAGCAGGTGCTGGGTTATGCCCTCCATTGCTATGACAAATGACTGAATCTTCAGGCAAGGGCATCTGCTCTATGGAAGAAGAAGAGTCGCTTTTATTGAGACACAGGAGTGTCATGTCCCTTGAACCTCGCCTGGTGTGGTGAGGGCCATTTCCCTGGGAGAAAGCTTGCACCCTGCTGAGATGCACCTCAGGGGCTCAGCATGGAGGAAGCTGGTGTTACAGGCGTCCTCCCAAGCATGCTGGGGACGAGGGGTCTGTAAGACGGCTCTGAGCACCAGTAGGCTGTCCAGGATGGGGCACAGTGCCTCACTTTAGCACTCAGCCATGCCGACAAGCCTTTGCCATGCTGAGCCATGCTGGTCACTCCCTTAAGAGAGGCTGCTGATTTAAAAAGTGAATAAAAAGAAGTTAAAGATGATTTATTGCGGTAGGGGTATTAAATGTCTATTTGACAGTGACAAATGTGTTCTGCTTCATTTCAGCCTATTCAGGGAGTAAACAAACTCTACATTCTCTTGGTATCTTTAATGCTCTTTTGGTCGTCTTTTTGTCTAGATGTATAGTTCCTCCGCTGCGGGTGCTCAACCCCGTTGTGAAGTTTGGACGGTGCTTTCTAAAATTCCCTTGTCGGCAAACACTGACTCTTGTGAATGACAGTGATCTTCCAGGCTGCTATGGAGTTCTTCCGCAGGTTTGGCATTGCATCCGCCACCTCTTCTCACCCGTTACTGTAGGGTTTGCTGGGAATAGGAACCTTCCGGAATATAACGGACACCAAAGTGTTGCCCAAATCCTTATTGCTAAAAAAACCAAAACAAAACAAAAAAACTATCTACATTAGACTTGAAGAAGTTTATATTCTAGTCCTTGCTTTTGTGCAAGGGAATTCACAAAAAGCTGCCACAGAGTCTCCCAGCGCAGGAGTGGGCAGTTATGGGTACAGTGCGCTTTTTGGCAAAGCTTGACTCTTTGACAGAGGGAATTACCAGGCGAAAGAGGCAAAAGTTCCTAGAGGCCTCTGGGAAGGGTTGGCTCCTGGGGATGCTGAGGTGTAAAAGGGGGACAGTGTGCAGCCTTTTGACAGCTGCTCTGTGTCATTCATGGGGTGATAAGAAGTCTCAGAGAGAGTTTCAGTAGCCATATGAGTTACATGGGGGGACATCTCTTGTTTGACTTTGTTAAGCACTGCAGAGAGAAATTAAGCTCCTCTTATCACAAGGGAGAATACCTCCTGTTCCCAGGGGTGTTAAATGGCATGCAGGCTGCAGCTCCTGGGAGCCAGAGCACCCAAGGGTGCTGAAGGTGATTGCGGCTTTTCCCGCCACAGCCACCAAGAACAGAGGATGGAGCAGTCTGAGCACCCTCAGCTGTGGGATAGAAGCTGTGTTTCCCCACAGCTGCTTTTGGACTCCCTCAGAACGTCAAATGCATGGAAGTTTTGCATCTAACTTTGCATCTTTCTGCTTTCCCTTAGGAATTATTTTAAAATGTGTGTTGAATTGTTGTTGGTGTAAATGTCAAGGAGTTTAGAGTTTTCCCCAAAGGTCATTCTGAAGCTGCATTTGGTCTGTCCCTTACAGGAGCACAAGGATGCTGCTGCTGTGTGGTACTTCAGTCCCCTGCCTTGTGGGATTATCCAGCCTCGCAGCTCAGTGGCGGTCCCATTTATGCTGGAAGCCCAAGTGACGGGAGAGCAGGACACAGTCGCTCACATCGCGGTTTTTGGGAGTGAAGGATCCCCTTTGGTGAGTCCCAGAGGAAACATGCCTGTTGTCTGTGTGACTGGTTTTGGCAGGGCGTAGTGTGAACTGGGAGGGTTGCTAATGCCAAGGATTCCTTCTGTGGAAACAAGAGCTGGAATGATAATGGCTTGTGCGGCAGGACTGCAAATATTCCTGCCTGCTGCTTCACTAGTGAGAGAAACTGGATGTTTCTTGGCCACGTGCGCTGCTGAATCAGTAATACGGTCTGGAAAGAATCAGGTAAGGGGGAGAGAACATGGGTAGGGGCCAGATGCTGCTATATGCTGAGGACTGTTTGTTTCTACTTGAAGCAGAGGAAGTAGCAGGAACTCTGCATTTCACCAGTCTGGGTCTTCCAAGATGAATTTACAACATTTATTTCTTTTATTCAGGAAAGGTCAACTGGACCTTTCTATACATCTTTTTCTATAGTTCTGGTTCAAAGGACCATTCAAGGAAATGGTGAAGCCACAATGGCAGAGTTTCCCAAGCAGCTAAAAAAAGTCAACGGGATAAAGCACCAAACTCCGCCTCTGAAATTTTTGAAAAATCCCACTCAACAGTTTAACTGTAAAACTCATTGTATCAGAACCAGCCATAACCAGGATGATTCCAGAAAGACTGTCAGATATGATGACTGGTGTGAATGAAGGAGTCCAACATTCATGGCATAAGCAACAGCTAATGCCTAGGGAAGAAGAAAGATAATTTCCTCTTTGACATGTGGTGATCAAAATGTGTGACAGTGCATGTTCTCGTGGATATGTGATAAAGGATAATAGGCCCAGTCCAAAATGCAAAACAGTCCCTGAATCTCTCACTCTGCTGTGATATTAGATGAGTAGCCACTGCTGCTTCATTAAAATTTCAGTTCAGGAGCGATGCAGGAACATGCCTGAATCCCGCTAAAGCAAGCAATATTTAAGAAACATTTGCCAAAGTGATGTTCTGAGCAAGACCAGATTTAAGCTTTTCTGAAAGTCAGGCCCATCACATCTGAGAAGTTTCTGTGATATTTCTCTGCTGAAAGCCAAAACCAAAAACGTGCGAGTCTCCACACAGCCTGCATTCAGAGCACAGAGAGTCTTTTTTTTCTACCAAACTTGAGTTGGATAGGGCAAAGCGTTCTGGAACTAAAGCCTCCTAAAAGATGTTGCTTACGTTCAGGCAAACACAACAACACCAGTAACAACAAAACATAGGCAGAAGAGTGATATTGTGTGTTGGCTTCATCTAGCTGAGTTCTAGAGCAAGTTTAGTTAATTAAACTTTAATCTAAAATGATATTAACTTTTGAAGTAGCTATGTTAAAATGTCTTGTCGTCTCTCTGAGCATGAAATAGGATGTCAGAGGATTGCTGGGAACCTTAAGCTTTCCGTAACAGAGGGAAGGTTGGCATTTTGAAAGCAGTCCAAGGGGTTTAAGCATTCATTAAAATGAATGGAAAAGATGCTGCTAAATCCCCTGGACAGCACTGAACATCTCAACCTGGGCCTTTGTGGATCTGAATGTAAACCACTGAACAGGAAGACCAGGCAATGCAGGAGGGAGAATTTTGCAGTTAAGCCTGAAGTTTGACAAAGGAGTTGCTCATAAATGTAAGGCGTACTTCCCTTAAAAGGAGGGTTTCTCCCCTCTAGAATAACCCAGTTGTTTAAATGTTGGTTTGTTTGTTTTTTAAATACAGTGCTCTTGTAAAGCTTTTACCCTTGGGTTAACAAATTGTAGTTTCAGCCTTCGCCTTATCTTAACAATCTTTTTTTTTTTTTTTTGGAGATTGGGCTAAAGATTGACATGTTAGAGGGAGAACATTTCAACTGGACAATCCTAACAGTCTCTAAAGAAATGAATAGCAGAAGACTGAACTCATCTGTGTGCCCATTAAGTCAATCCTTAATGTGCAGCGTTTACGCTCAGTTGCTGCTAGCACCCAGTGAGCGCTCAGAAACCTTGCTGGGCATATAGACAGCATATACGTGAATTTCTTGCTGCCAGGCTAGGTGCTAAGTTTGCATTTTCGATAGGACTGCTCTGCAATTTGGGTATGGCTTCAGTAGTTCCTTGGTAGTTCCCTCATCCAGAGCTTTCTGGACTAGAAGGACAGCTAACTGTCTTGTTATACATCCTGTACCGCAGGTAAATTCTTGCCATATCGGTCAAGTGGTATAAATCTGTTGACCTCAGTGGAGTCACTGCAATATATCCCAATAAAACAAAAATATGAGCTTGCTCCTGTTGACTTAGGTTGTGCCTTCTGCTGTTGAGATCAAGTCTTTATAGACTTTTAGGGTGAAATCTTTTACAGATCTTTCATCCTAGTTGTGTCTGTGTCGTGGGTCTGTTGCTTGGTATTTTGTTTGCAAGTGACTGCATGCCAGCTTCAATTTGCTATTTATAATCTCCTGCATTAAGGAGCTGGTAAAACATGGCACAAGGTTTACCTCTGGTAAATCAGCCTAATGCATGCCACAGGCAGTGGATTTGGCAGCTGGCTGCTATCAAAATAGGTGGTCGCTCGAATCACAGCTGGCTGCCAAGGGACAGATGCTCTTCATTCCCAAATGATCAAATATGAAGTGACGTAGCTTTCAACAAAGCCAGCAAGGCTGTTCTTGTGTGTGTTGCAACATTACTGATGTCAAAGTTGATGTTTCCTTTTACTCCCTTTCTCTGTGTAACACATTGCCTGCAAATGTTAAGTGGGATTTTTCTTTCTCCTTTCAAGAAGACTGTGGATGAAGGCTTTTAAGTTTTTGGGTTTTTTTAGTGAGGCTTTTCCTTGCTGAGGCTGTGCCATGTTATAATACGCACTGTAGTTGAACCCATATGGGCTTGCAGGTAGCCTGGACATCCTGCAGAGTGCTGCTGGGTGGGATGGCAGCTCGGCAGTACTGGCTCATTAGTCTGCTCATCTCGGAAGGGTTCTGCCCTGCCTTTGCTCCTCTGGTTTTGCTACTGCTCAGAGGTAAAGCCGGCTGGTGAGGCACCACTCTTTCTTCCAGCTCCCCTTCTCCCCAGCTCTTCCTTCCCAGGAAGAGGTTGTGGGCAAGGTCACTGAGACACCAGCTCTCTGTACCTTCTTCCTCCTTGAGGGCTAAAAGGTCCATCATCATGGATGGCTTCAGCTTGTTATTCTAGAGGTACCGCCCTTGGTACATGATTTGTTAGGCTCTTTTATTTGCACACAGTAATGTCCTGCAGAGACACCAGTATTTATGGATGATGCTCCTTGTGGCTGAGTGGGACTAGTAGTTTTGACAGCTGTCAATGCTGTTTCCTTGAGTCAGACATCATTAAAGAGTTCCCATCACAGAGGCTGGGGTTTCTTGTGGTTAAATCGTACTCTGTGCCCTCCAGTGAAGCATACAGTAGTTTATTGGTGTCAGAGGTTTTATGCATTCAAGTCCTGTTTGTATGTTGGATGTTTGGGTCTAATGAAATCCACCAAGACTGGGTAAGTTCTCATTGTTTTTAATGATGTGAGAAGATGATTTAGCAAAGGGATCCACATTCCTCCTATGGCTGAATCTGCTCCAGCGCTGCAAGAATGAAATCTTAGGGCCTCAGATTGTCAAAAGAGAAAAATAAAGTTTGACGGATGTAGTTAATTATTAATGCCTCTTATTCATCTAGCACTACAAATACACATAAAGTACTCTTCAGAGTCAACTGACTTGCATGATCTCTACTCTGAGGAGCCTGCTTTGCTTCTGACTTGTGCTTGTTTTCACAGGTGTAGCTTTGACTTTTGTGGAGTTCCTCTCCAAGTGTGGCTGTGCAACAGCAGAAGCCAGAGGGGATAGTTTGGGGCAAGACTGAGCAGTAAAAGGTGTGGGAGTGGGCACAGGGTAGAGGAAGAAGTGAAAGTGTGGAGGAAGTGTGAATGCAAGTGTGAAGAAAGTGAGAAGCGTGGGAAGCTGGATTTGTTTATTCCTTGATGATGCTGTTCTGAGCTTATGTCTTTCAGCTGAGATCACTCTAGATCCTGGGCTTTCTCCAGGTCTTCTGTATCAGTATTAAACACCAAAAGCTTCAAACAGCTGTAGCTCAGTCTAAAAGTACCCTGAGAATGATCTAATTTTTTTTAACCTTCTTTGCTTTTTTGGTCCTTTCCACCTGCTTTCTCGAGCAGAAGATTCATTTAGTGAGCACTGGAGAAGGCCCAGTTGTCTATGTGCATCCAAATAAGATCGATTTTGGCAGTATCCAAGTGCTACGAGATGTTTCCCGGACACTCCACCTCTCCAATCAAACTGTCATCCCTGCATCATTCTGGGCACAGATGGTAAGTATATGTGGGGCTATTTTCAAACAAAATGTGACTAGTCTGTAGCAGCCTGTGACCTGATTTTATATACAGTATTTCCGTATGATTATCTCAGAGAGAAAGCAAAATGCTCCCTTATAATGCAGCACGGTGAGTTCTGGTTCTGTGTGCAGTTTTAGTTGGGTACCCTCTGATAAAGAAGAGAATTTGCATAGATGTGTGAGCAGATGTGACTCTGGATCATCTTTATCTACTTTTCCTTTATTTTGGGTAAGTTATTTAGCTCTGTTAGTTAAGTTTTTGGAGCTCTATGAGAGCAAAAGAACCCTGTGGCCCTTGGTTCCTGAAAGGATGTGGGTTTCTGCAGTTTCCGTATTCTGTCTACATCTGGTTTGCCCTTCACTCCTCAAACTCTTGTTAACGTGTAAGCTAGAGAATGGGATCTGTCCTTAAACTGCTTGAGATGAGGTGAACTTCACACCTACTGGGGGGGGTCACACTGGTTTTTACACTCAAAAAAAAAAAAAAAAAAAAGCTTTTATTTCTAAGAAATGCCAGCTGGGACTGATTGAGAGTGAGGTATGGGTCTGTGGACTCTGTAGCATTGCAGAGCATCTCTGGAGATTAGCTGCGGAAAAAGGCAATTTAATTTAGAGGCTGCATCGGCTGATGGACTGCCTTGTAGCAGAAGAGTCGGCCTGCTCGCAGGGCATGGAGAGTGAGGTGGATGTGGCTGGGAAGGGGTTACATGCTGCAGCTGGGGTGCGTACCACGCTGCCCCTTGCCCTCTGTTTACTCAGCATCTGGGGGCAGGTGGCTGTGTGAATTGATGCCATTTTTGCTGTCTCCCTGCGTCAGGCGCTGTTTTTCCTTGTTGCTTTTTCAATGAGAGATGTCTTTTGTGAACCTGGAGCATTTGAGGCCTTGCTTTTCGAGCCTTTTCTGCTGTCCTAACCACGGAAAGCAGGGGGTTGTGATAAGAGCCCAAGCCCCATCCTTAGCCCTGTTCTTCAACGAAATTTATCCCAGTTGCCTGCTGGGCAGAGCTGGAGGGGAGATTTGAGGGGGCTGGAAACAGGGGGCCCAGAAGAGGGTTGAGCTTGTCTGTGTTAGGCAGGCTGAACCTCTGAGGCTGGTTAACCTAGAGCCAGTACTACAGACACAGGCTTGGCCGCTGCCATGGATAAAGCATCGGGCAGTGTGAGAGCACAGGCTCAGGCTTTTGAGCTGAGGAGGAGAGGAGCTGAATTTCCCTGTCTCTTTTGCTCGTTTTCCAGCTGTCTTCCTCCATTTTCTGTGCGCAGGTGGATAAATGTAACCTCTGAGTGAAGGATTCCCAGGGTAGTTTGCTCTAACTCCAGCACAAAAATCTGCTTTCCATCTCTGCAGAGAGAAAGCCCCCCAGGGTGGGTGCCGTGGGGTTTTAAGTGTTGGTTTTTGTGTGCTGTTTTGATACAGTTTGTACCCATGACTGGCGCACAGAGCCACGTTTAGGTCCTGCTGTCCCAATGTAATGCCTTCCTTCCTGTCCCGGGGCAGCTTGCAGTTTACCCCAGTGGGGCTTGCAGAGCTCTTGTATCTGCCTCTCCATTCCCTCCGCCCCCTAATTTATGGAATTGGGTGATAAATCCTACCCTGGTTCATTGCAATTTCTGCAAGTGTTGTGGCACATCAATAAATAGAACAATACAACAAAGTGGTTCAGGGACAATCCCTTTTCTTGTGCTAAAGATGAGCTCCACTGATACGTAGTCCCCCTGCTTGGGCGTGTCAGCATCTCAGCTTCTCAGGACGGCTCAGCACAGGGGCTTGGGTCATGGAGATGCCCAACAAAGCAGGTGCTGGGAACCTGCTTGATCAGTCATTTACACAGGGACTCTTCAGGTAGGGACTCCTCAACACTGTGATATTCAGTCTGTCTGACGGGAGCGGCAATGCTGTATGTGAGATGTAATCAAGCTGCTCTTGCCCTCTGCAGCAGCCTACTTTGCTGTTTTGCTGCCTCAGTTGGAGCTCTGCCTTTTGCGAAAAGCAGGTGCTGCTGCCTTAGGCTGCCTGGCAGTTTATTGGCAGGGAGGAGAGAGGACTTGAATAACTTTGGAGCTAAAATTTCAAGGGCTTTTGGGTGCCAGGGTGAACCATACATGTCCATGGGGTGCAGAAGCAGCTCAAGCTTGTCCCTTAGCCTCGCTGGTGGGTGACTTTAGCGTCCTTCATTCACTCGTGCTTCTGCACAAAAGTTTTGCATTTCCTGAGATGCCAGAGCTGCTGCTTGGATTTTCCGCTTGGAGATTGCTGCTGAGCAATGAGCTGTGATTTCCTTGTCTCCCATTTGATGGCTAATCTTGAAACTTAGTGTATTTGTAGTTAGGCTTATAGATCACAGTCACACTTGAAAGAAAGAGGTATTGATTGAAATTTTCACAAGAGCATTGGGTCAGCAATGTTATAATGCACTGACTGGCAGCTCAACAAACTGAATGAGATTAGATTAAGGGGTGACAATAGGGCGAGTAAAAGGTAGGTGGTCTAGTTCAAAACTGAAAAGGAAAATGCTGCAATGTGGATGGCTATGTACCCCCTACGCTGGGTGAATTGTTGGGAGCAGCACTGAGCATCTCTGTGCCAGAATGATGCGCGGCTCTGCTGCAACTGCACATTAGTGTCCCAGAGGAGCCGGACAGCTCATGTGTCCCCACCAGGAAGAGAGGCAAGTCAGACTGAAATTAAAAAAAACAATACAAACAAAAAAACCCCTAACTTCAAAGCTGTACATTGAGATCAGGCAGCTCTGGCCGCCTATAGGGAATGGTTATTGTGGGCCTTTCTCCAAAGTGGTTGCTGGCTGCACAAAGCTAACAGTATGGAAGAACTGCTGTGGATCTGAGCACAAGAGGCAGTGTTGTCCTCTTGTTGAGGTCTGGAAGAGCTCGGGAGGAGCATGGAGAACTTTGACTGGAGGCTTAGCATGGGATGCTGCATCACTTGTCTTGGCTGGCAGGCAGATCCTCTCTGTGCTAAAATACTAGTTTGAAAATATGAGACTGTGAATGCCTGTGGTCTGTTGGTTTTTTTTTGCACACGTGTGTGTATGTACATACCTATAAGACACATGCTGCATTGGTACATTGGCACACAGGAAACTGGGTTCTGAGATGGGCTTCTCGGAAGTGATTGCACAGATTGTTTTCCCTTTCTGTCCTCTCTGCCTCCTGCTATTCTTCTTTAATTGTATTAATTCTTCTGAGCACAGACCTAGTTTCCACAAACTCCTGTAAAGTTGCTACTGTTCCCTTTTTAGACAGATCAGAGCAGCCTGATCTTGACTACAGAGATGCAGACCATCCCTCAGTAATGGCCTGGGGCTACTGTTTTTTCTCAGGGACAGGTCAGCCCTGGTCCGCCAGGGTACCCTCTCTAGAGGTATGCCAAGGACTGAGTGCGCAAGGCCTTGGGGAGGATGAGTAGAGAGTGGTCCCCATAGCATATTTTATTCCCCACAAGACAGCAGAAATATGCCCAAGTTTTACATTTCTGCTGTCTTCAGTTGCTCCATATCCAGTGGTCTGATGGATGGGAGGCATTTTCTCCCTTGGGTACCCCCTATATAAGCTGGCTTCCCAGCAGAGTGTGGCTGCCGAGGAGGGCAGGATCTGTGCGTGCCAATGGGTCACATCGTCTCTGTCTGTCTGGGGTGGAGCCCTGGCCAGACACCCCAAGTAGGCCAAGTTGCTTTGCCAGCAGATACTTAGAGATTCCTGAAAGATGAAGCTTCGCATTCACCCTGATGTTAGAGGATTGCCTGCATGCAGAGTGTAAAGAAGAGGATCTTGCACCTCCCCCACCCCTCCCAAATGAAGAGTCTTTGCTGCACCTGGGTTCATATGCCTCTTACCTCCTGCAAGCTTTGGAGGATATATTAGGAGCATGTCAGGTTACCACTAGTAGCAAAGGATCAAGCAGTCCTCAGCACTGAGGGCAGTCCTGAAATGATGATCTTGGTAGCATCTGGGATTTGCCCCTGCCATTTCCATACTTGCTGCTTTTCCTGGAGCACCCAGAGCAAAGAGGAAGAGGCAGTGGGCTGAGGTTAATTCTGTGATCCCTAGGAAGTGAACTTAAAGCTTTCTGCAAATGAGTTGGAGCTCCTGATTTATCCACAGAACAAAAGCCCTTTCCTGCTTCCCTTTGCCATGCGTGTTAGAGGCAGAGCTGCTGAGGCTGTTTACTGGACTTCAAACAGCTCGCTGCCAGGAGATCAGGGATCTTGCTACCGGCTGCTGAGAGATAATTTTGCAAACTGCGTGTACTTATGCAGTCGCCCCACGACTCCCTAGAAACGTTGACGCTGATGAATAAAACAAAGGAACCTGCGTAAAAAGGGTAGGGAATGGGAGGAAAAGAGTGGTGTGAGACGGAGAAGTGGTGCACTGCTTCTGCATGAGACTGCAGCTTACACTGACGGGGTGTGGGAAGCTGGACGAAACCAATAAACCGAGCTTCTTCCTGCAGGATGAACTCCAGCCAAAAAGCTGCTTAGCACCAGGCTGTCACTGCCCTCAGGTGCGACGCTGAGCTCCGCGACTCCCTCTGACCAGCTGGGAAGCAAGGCTCGAATGGCACCAGCGTTTAGCAAAACTTGGATTGATTGCACTGAACAGTTCGGGTTTTTCCTGAGTTAAATCCATGTTTGTTTCAGAAATACCATCAATTTGGGGGGACATGGCTAAGAGTAGAGGCTGTCAGCAGTACAGCAAACACGTGTTTAGACAAGGTTACAGGCAGGGGGGAAATCACCCAGACAAAGTAAGAACTTGCGTAATGCACATGTTGGAGATGTGGAAATGTTGGAGGTGTGGCTGGCCTGAGATGAGAAAGTCTGCTCAACATAGTGCAGCTGTAGCTGCTGAGTCCTGACGCTGTCTGCGCTGGGTCTCAACGTCCTGTCCGTACTGCTCCAGTGCCAAGTCTGCATGCTCCTGTGTCCCCGGCGGGGCTGCTCTGCAAGCTGGAGGAGT